ACATTGGTGCGTGTGAGGGGTGTGAGGGGTGGGGGGGGAGACGGGGGGGGGGAAAGAAAGAAGGGGTGTTTGGGGGCGATAAGGGGGAGGGGGGACAACAGTTGGGAAGGGGGTGGAGGGGGGGTGAAAAATACACAAGCGAACACACGCCTGGACCAAAACACCCGAAAACGGTCTCGTATGTCGACACCTTCCCGCCCCCCATAGGCATACATGCACACGCACATACACACACACACACATGCGAAACACACACACACACACACATACACATGCGAAACACACACACACACACACGCACACGGTCCCCCTCCTCCTCTTCCTCCTCTCTCCCCCCGCCAATGCACGCAGGGGACGCCTACATGATTGTTTCCGGGCACGACGGTGTGGGAGATCACGCGGTTCGGATGTTGAGAATGGCTCAGAGCATGTTGGAGGCGGTGAAGGAGATGCGCGGGTACGACGGTCGGGCGTTACAGATCCGCGTCGGCATACACACGGGTCCGGCACACAGCGGAGTCGTGGGGCTGAGCCGACCGCGATATTGCTTCTTCGGTGGGTCAAGTCCAGGGAGGGGTTCAGGCGAAGGGGTGCTCGAGGGAGGGTGCTCGAGGGTGGGTCAACCGTAAGGAGGGACGGGTTCATCATTAAATCTCATCATCATTAAACCTCAAAATTAAGTAACTTCCGAAAAAAATAAGAAATAGGGAAATTTTGGAAATAAAATTACTATATACTTGTTTTAAAATATACTTGTTTTTATATCAAATGTTTTGATTTTTTTTGGATGGGGCAATGCTCGTTTGATTGTTTTTTATTTTTTTCTCGGTACGGAACGTACTGCTGTCTGCGGCTCCGTACTGACGTATTGTGTATTTTTAATGGAAACATTCTCCTCCTTCCCGTCCCCCTTGGCAGCTCAGTTAACCCCACCTTCACGTCCGCATCCGCATTACTCAGCAGCTGCCTCCCCCTCCCCCCAAGCCAATCCTAGACCCCCCCGCCCTTTGTGTTTTTCCCCGTCCTTTCGTCCAACTTAACCCGCCTCCTGCCTCCATGCCTCCCCAAACACCCAACCGACATTTCGGTACCGTCAACTGTCAACTGCTAACAACCGCGGATGAGCAACAGGCGACACGGTGAACACGTAAGTACGGCAGCGCCCTTTTATGTTTTGTTGTCTTTCAGAGAAGCAAAGATGCGATGGCATAGGGTGTGGTGTCGTACTCGGCAAGGTCGTCATTTGCCTATCTTAAAAAACAAAGCATCATCTGTTTTCACTCCTCTTCCTTTTGCCTCCCTTTTAGGGTTTTGCAAATCCATGTACGTTTTGTGTGCCCTTCCAATTCCTTCTGGCAACCTTCCTCTCTCCAAACTACTTTTTTTCATAATTGTATGTTTAATACTGTCCGCCTGGTCTGGGTTGACACTACTGCAATTAGCGGTTTAAGGTCCTGGGTTCGATTCCTGGGGAGACCCCCGAATTAGTCGGGAGCGCGAGATTATGGCTAGCTGCTGAGATGTGGAGTTGAGGTCACAGTTGATGGACCAGATTCGCACGCTGGATTGGTGGCGATTGCCGAACCCTCCGTCTCTTCGGGTGTTCTGGTGAATGGATGAGGAGGGGTCCCTGACGGCTGGATCCGCCGCCTTGGACTTACAGTTCGTATGGCGAAGTACAGTGTGGTAGTGGTGGATGGTGCTATAAGGTGATAAATGATCTAGAACTGACAATGTGATAAAGCGGCCCAGAAGCCTCCCACTCTGTAACATAACATAACATAATACTGTCCGTTAATTACCTTTTCGTTTGTCGTACGGATGACATGGCCCCCTCCCCGGCTTCCCCCCCAGGGCTTCCCGGATGGAGAGTACGGGTTTTCCCATGGCCGTACAGGTAAGTACGACGAAAATGTATGCCGTCGCTGCCGCTGATGCTTCTGCTGTTGCTCATATATACATACATACACACACGCACACATACCTGCATACATATATTACATATACATATTACACATATCCCCACGCCCTGCACCCCCTGGCGCCTAGGTCAGCGAATCCACCCTGCGGGCGGTGACCTCGCGCACCGAGTGGGCCGCGGAGTTTAGCTTCGTGCCGTGCGGACCCCGGGACATAAAGGGCAAGGTGCGTGGAGAGGGTTTGTCTGTCTGTCTGTCTGTCTGTCTGTCTGTATATGCGAGAGTGTATACGTGTATGCGTGTATGTGCGTATGTGCGTATGTGCGTATGTTTGTGTTTCTGATTTACAGCCTCAGTCGGCTTACGCGGCGGCTGCTGTTGCTGGTTCCAAGGCTGGGGAGCTTGTCATTCCCTGGCAAGAGGCAAGGGGCAAGGGGCACTCTGCAGGCTGGGATTGGGATTGGGATTGGGATTGGGATTGGGATTGGGATTGGGCCGTACGCTGCAGGGAGCTCACGCGCTAGGGAAAACGGAAAACGGAAAACCGAAGTACAAGCAGCCGGCCGTACAACGACCGCGGCAAAAGCGCATGATGGCGCATTCTGGTGCGGCACACACGCAACAGCCGTACACGTGCCGTACACGTATCAGCCGTACACGTAACTCGCACATCAGACAACAGCTGCATCGCTTGATTACGGGGAAATTGGGATATATATATATATATATAATATATATATATAATATTCCCACGTTTGGCAAAACGGGTATATACGCCAGTGGTGGTAGCGCTGGCGCTCAAACCGACCTCCCAGCAGCTGTTGCCTAGCTTCTATCCTGCGGCGGTGGCTTCTGCAGTTAGCAGTTACTGAGTACGGTGAATAGGAAGTGGCGGTGTGTGTGCGTGCGCATGCGGACGTGTGTATGTGTATACATGTGTGTGTGCGTGGGTACATGTGAGTTTGCGCTAGGATCTAGCACCCGTTAGTTACCCAGGGCCATATTGGCAACAACACGAGGCTTGTTTGCCCTGGGCCCCCCTGATGTAATCCCCTGCTTTGTTGGGATTGGAACCTGTATTGAGATGCAACTTCATGGTCAGATGGCTGTGGTGGTGGCGATCGCTCGTGTCGACTTATTCAGGGGTTCCTTTCTGTCTCACATACATACATACATTCCTTTCTTAGTCACATACATACATACGTACATATATACATATATACATATATACATATATACATATATACATATATACATATATACGTATATACATATATACATATATACATATATACATATATATACATATATACATATATACATACACACATACATACACGTGATGCGATTCGTGCTCGCCAGGGTGTCATGCACACGTACCTTTTGTGTGCTGGTCTGTACGAACAAGCGCTGGCGGAGGTGACCGCCACCACTGCCGCGGCGGCGGCGGGGCCGAAGCGCCGGGTGGCTGCGGCCGCCGCCGTCACGACGGCGGCAGCGGCGCCGCCGCTGCCGCTTGACGACACTGCCGTGGTTACCACCAGCCCGCGCGGTATAAAGCCCCCGCCGTCGTCGGTGGCGGCGGCGGCGGCGGCCGCTGCTGCCGATGGCCTCTCTCTGCCGACGAACAACAGTACGGCAATGGCGGTGCCCTCGCCGCCGCCGCCACTGCTGAGCCATTGCCGCAGCCAGACGGCGGCGGCGGCGGCGGCCGATCTCGCCAGCAGCGGTGGTGGCGGCGGCGGCGGCGCCGGCAGCGACTTTACGGACTGCGCCAAGTACGCGTCGTACCGTTATCACCATCATCACATGTCGGGCATAGATGTCATATCGAGCGCCGGGACCAATGTTTTGATGGACAACGGTCTGGCGGTGCTGGTGCCGTCGCACGCGCTTGTGAGTACGGCTGCGAGTACGAGTGCGGGTTCAACTGATGAATGAGGAAAGAAAAAATGAAAAATGCATTGCTGCAATTAATGAAATACCGAATATATCGAATGTTCCTTCCTAATCTCATTGAGCTGTTGTATCTAGCTCTGTTAGTGAAATAGCGGGTGTATTCATATATCACCAGATGTCGCCCCTCTATTTATTTATTTGGATGCGAATTCGCCCGATCGGGATCCTCTAATTAAATCCCTTTCTATATCCAAAATCCATTTAAATCCTTTTTATACCCAAATCCAGATTAAATTCAAATCCAAATCCAAATCTGACTCCCAAGTTCAAATTCAAAATCCATTTCAGGACGGGTCTTTGCTCGACTCTTTGGATCTAGCTCCCAGCATTGCCCAGCACCACAACAGCGTACATCACCAGCCTCCAGCCCCCCTCCGCTACGGCGCAGCCGCCAGTACGAGCAGCTACAGCGGCTACAGCATGCAAAGCGGGTACGGCGTCGCGTCGCGTGGGCCGTTTGGCTGTCCGGGGTCCATGCCACTTAGCTCGGGGCCAGCGGCATCGGCCACGGAAACAGCGGCGGCGGCGGCGACGGCGACGGGCGGGAGGCTCAGCGGGGCGGCGGGGGTGGCAGCAGCGGCGCATCACGGGTCTGGCAGCGTTGCGTTCAAAGCCGTACCGGGTGTCGTACAATCGGCGGGTTCGACGTTGTCGGGACGTCCATCCCTGGAGTCTTCTGGCCGTGGCGCACTGGCCGCGGTCGTATGCAGGAGCACCTTGAATAGGCCACAGTCCCCTGTGCCCCCGGGGGTTCGCAACGGCACCGCCTCCGCCAGCGGCGGCGGCGGCGGCGGCGGCGTCCGCCCGGAGGGCACCGCCGCGAAGTCGTCGTCTGCTTGGTCAGGTTGTGTCGAGGAGCTGTCGCTGCAGTACGGCGTGAGCCAGGGCTGTGGCGCCGCCGGCGAGTTGCGGCCGCCGCCGGCGGGCGCCCGGGCGCTATCCGCCGCCGCCTCTGGGCTCGCGTTCGCCGGCGCCGCCGGTGCCGCCGCTGCGGCGCCGTACCACTCGCGGCCTACGGCATCTAGCCGTATCGGCGGACAAATGCAGCTTCGTCGCAGTACCTTGCGAAATAGCGAGGAGCTCACTGTAGCTGCTGCCGCGGCTGCCGCTGCTGCTGTGGTGGCGACGGGGACGGCAAGTAATGCTAGCGGCAATGGCGAAGGCGGCGGCGAAGAGGAGGCAGCGGCGGCGGCGGCGACGCTGCTTGATGTTGAGGCACTCATGGCCGCACAGGAGTTACTCATGGATCAGAGGTCGTTTGGAGTTCGTAGTGGCGGCGGCGGCGCTGGCGGCATTGCCGGCGGCGGTGGCGGCAGCGGCGAGGAGGCCGGCGGCGGGCCACCTGCATCCTGGTGTGTACAAGTGGAAGCGATGGATCTGTCATCAGCGGTGTACGGCAATATCGTACAGGATTCCACTTCGACGACCCATGACATGGCGAACACGTTGGGGAACTGGATCCAGCAGGGCGGCGGCGGCGGCGATAGCGGTGGCGGAGGAGCTGATAGACGAGAGACAACGACGGCGGAGCGGTCGCCGCTGCCAGCGTCGCCGTCAAAGGCGCGTTTACTCGCCCTCTCCGCCGCCACAGTCTGTGCCGCCGCCACGCCGCCTGCTGACGTCGACGTCGATCTTGCTCGGGAGCCGCCACTGGCTGTTGCAGCGGAGGCGCTGGCAGCCGCCGTAGACAGCGTGCTGTACGGCGACTCAGGAAACGCTGGAATGGGGGCCGTCGCCGCCGTCACCCAAGGCCTTGCGCTCGCAGCCGGCAGCGGCGGCGGTGGCGGTGGCGGTGGCGGTGGCGGTGGCGGCGACGGCAGCCGAAATTTATTGCCGTCCAAGCGCCCAACAGCACCGCAACCACCCTCAGCGCCAGGGCAGCCATCGCCGTCGCCGTCGCCTTGGAGCGCCGCCACGTCCTCGCAGAACGACACCATCGGCGTCGTCGCCGCCGCCGGCAGCTTGCCTTTCGCCCAGGCTCCTACATCCCACCGGTACGGCACCACGAGCAGTACGAGCAGTACTATTCGTCAAGCCACCACGACGCAGCGGCTGTCGTGTGACGTGCCCGCGTTAGGTAAGTAGGCGGTGTGCCAAATGTCGTACTAGTTCCAAATGTCGTACTTGTCGTACTCCCATGGGAAACTGGACGTGCGAGGAGTTGGGCATCGAAGATCACCAAAAGGGGCCTGAAGCCCAATTCCACTCCTCCGCGAACTCCACCACCTTAAAATAAATAAATTCGCGCATTCTCGTTCTACACCATTTTGCAATATCGTACATCTCCGTACATGTCGTACATTGTTTTGTGCCGTACATTATCGTGCATTGTCGCATGCTGTCATATATCACATGACCACGGCTGTATGTTTCCTTCCCGCCCGTGCGCCTTCGTGCGCAAGCAATGCGCATGCGCGCGGGTGGCTTAGGGAGTGGGGGCGGTGGTGGTGGCGGCGGCGACGGCGGCGGCGATGGCGGCGGCAATGGCGGCGGCGGAGGAGCTGATTTTGGCGTCGGGAACAGCTTTACGGGATTGGTTGGGGGCGGCGGCGGCGGTGTGGGCGGCGGTGGCGGCCGCGGCGGCGGCATCGGGGGCATCTACTCGCAGCGGGCGCCTGGCAGTAAAGACCCATGGGTCGGGCATCCATTAGTTGGAAAGCGGCCCGCAACCGCTAATGGTGCCGTACAGTTGGCCTCGTCATTGTCGTGTACCGCAGCTCAAATCTTTTTGCGTGAGACCGCACCCCTTACTGCCGCCGCCACCGCCGCCGCCGCCAGCACTTCTCTGTCCAAAAACGCAAGCCGCAGCTCGGCGCCGCCAGGACCGGCGGCGGAAGCCGCGGCGCAACGCAGTGTTCTGTACGGCGGCGCCGGCCGGCACCGCCCCGCCACAGCTCACGCCGTGAGTAGTACTGCCTGTGCCGATAGCGGTGCCATCGGCTGGGCCCGAGGACGCGAACAGGGCAACAAGCAAGGAATGATGGCGGCGGTGCCGTCGTCGAACGGCGGTCTGTTCAACATGGATTCGGATGCCGTACTGCAGGTAGGTTTCAAGAGCAGCTCTTCTGGATGATGGCGGCAATGTAAATGATATTGATGGTTTTAGGGAGTTTGGGGGTAATAACAGGTACCGGCTCTCTGGTCCACGTGGCACCCCCCCTCCCCCCCCACAAACACACACACACACACGCACGCACGCACGCACTCACGCAGATCCACACACACACGTACACACAATCGAATTGTGTCCCTTTGCTGTTGAAATTCTAATCCGTCCGCTCAGGGGTCATCTTTGCCCGGGGGTGGACAGCTCCCGGTGAGGGTTCGGACGATCAACAGCGGTAAGAGCTTCAGTTACGCAGCCTCAAGCGCACCCTCCCGCGCCGGCGGCGGCGGCGGTGGCGGCGGCGGCGGCGGCGGCGGCGGTGCTGACAGCGGCGGAGGCGGCGGAGCACTGCTGACGCGCACGGGCAGCATGGGTGGTGTGAGCATTATCAGCCAAGGCTGGTCGAACCTGTACGACCCGATGTGTCCGAGGTACGGCAGTACAACAGTACGACAGTACGGGTTTGGGGCCGCCCTTAGTGTACGGGTAAAGTGCCTCAGGGATCTGAAACACGTTTTGAGTTTGCTTGCCCCCACATGCACATCTACTTAGCTACATGCAAACCTACATACATACATACATACATACATACATACATACACACACATAAACCACGCAACCCCCCCTCCGTTTAGGCCCCGCCTGACGGACCACTACTGTACCACCACGTCGGGGGATTTTGACGAGCTGGGCAGCATCGGGTGAGTTGGGTGGCGGCATGCCAATTTCTGAATGTACGGCGAAGTGTACGACACTTTACGACCTGTATGGATCCCCAACGCGAACCCCAGCTCCGCAAAGCCGCAAGACACACACATCCATATATATGTATGGAGTGTGTGTGGATGTGGATACATATATATGTATATATATGTGTGTGTATATATATGTATATACATGTATATATGTATATACATGTATACATATATATACATGTATATATGTATATACATGTATATATGTATATACATGTATACATATATATACATGTATATATGTACATACATGTATACATATATATATGTATACATGTATGTATATATATATGTATATAACTCGAAACACGCATCCACACACACTCCACTGTTCCGTAGGGCGGATTAACAATTTATTACGTTTCTATTACTTGATAAAGGTGCTGTACAGGAGTTTTTAGGCGCGTGCTTGCTGTTCCCTTTTGTTCGCCCCCCTGCATATTTCCAGAGGGCCCTGCTCATGTTCTCCCGATGTGTGTGCAGCTGTATGTCTGTTTGTGCAGCTGCCTGGTGGTGCGAGGGCGGAAATGACCATTGGTGCCATTGGTGACATGCGTGGGTGCCGAGTTCACCTTGAAAACACACACGACACGCCAAACGCACGCCAAAAACACAAACAGACATACGTACTCACACGTACCATATCCCCTCCCCTCCCCTCCCCCGCTTTCAAAAAAACACACAAACATGCAAAAATAAAAACACGACACGCAGAGTTCGTACACCCGGCGGTTCGCTTCTAAGTCCCAGCGTTGGCTCAGTTCAGCCGTGGGGGGACCTATCCGTACATCCATCTCCCACGCTGCTGACGCCAGCACACAGCAGTAACGCTGCCATCGCTGCCGCCGCCGCAGCGGCGTCGGCATCTGCGACAGATTCTGAGGCAGGGGGTGGCGGCGGCGGCGCCGCCGCTCGACTGGCGGCAGTGCAGCAGCGCCCACAGACTGCAGCGGCGGCGGCGGCGGCGGCGGCGGTGGCGGCGGCTGGGAACGCCGTTGCATCAGCCGCCAGTGACGTTATCTTTGGCGAGATCTCCGGCGTAACCGCCGCGCATGACGTGTCGTACGTCATGGGCGATGTGCCGTCGCCGGCTGTATCCCGTTTATTGCGGCGGCCCGCAAGTGCCCGGGCCCGCGCCCCGTCACCGCTGATGCGGCAGCAGCTGCCTGCAACGGTGTGTTCCCACGTGGCCGTTATCATTCTCGCCTTCAATGTCTGTCTGTCTGTCTGTCAATTGTGCGTTGGTGTTGGTGTTGAGGGTGTTGGTGAAGGTGTCAATATCATGTTAGGTGTGTTTTCTGCAAGATCCCCAACTCCGCCTTGCTCCAAGCAAACCCTCCCGCCCCCCTTTGCTCCATCCTTCATCTTAAGCTCCCCAGTCTCCTCCACTCGCCTCCGCCTCCTCCTAAGTGCTGTCCGGTGGCGGCGGCTCCACCGCCGCTGGTGGTATGTTTGTATGTATGTACGTGTGTGACTGAATAATTCCCTACTTCCGGACTGTGAATCATCTCAATTTGAACACAGGACATTTCGGGGTACGAATTATACAGCAGGCCGCGAACGCTGCCGGGCATAAAGACAGCTCCCAGCGGCGGCGGTGACGGCGGCGGCGACGGCGGCGAGACACCAGCGGCGCCTACAGCTGGAGCGGTCGTGGTGGCGGCGGCGGCGGCGCCGGCAGCGGCAGCGGACTCGCCACATTTAGGGCGCAGCCGCAGCCTAGATGTGAACCGCCGAAGCGGCGTCCGGGCGCCGCTAGGTGACGCTGCGTACGGTAACTTGTACGGACAGGCGGCCCAGGTGGCGCAGCCGCTACCCGTGTACGAGCAAGCCCATGTGTACGGCCAGGGGGCGGCCACGGTGACGGCGCCGTGGAGGAATGACAGTAGTCCTCAGCGCGGCGGCGAGTCTGGGCAGCCGTACACGGGCGCAGGCGCTGTCGTTGCCGCCGCTACTGGTTTGCACACAGATGATGCCGTACTTTTATTGGCGCTGACGACGGCAAATGGCAGCAGCGGCGACGGTTTCGCCGGTCTTGCCGCTTCTGTCTCTCGCAGCCCCGCTCCCACCGACAGCCCCCGACAGCTTTCCCCAATATTGACATTGACGGCCGGCTCCCCGCTCAGCGGCGGCAGCGGCGGCGGCGGCGCTTCGTCCGCTATGGACTCGGTGCCGTACACTCTGGCAACTAACGTTAGTAACTTGTACTACAACCGCCGCAGCTCCGTCGACGTCGTACATCGGTCATCGCAGCCGTGTGGTGCTGGCGCTGCTATTGCTGCTATCGGAAGACCTGGTGCCGTACACAATAGGTGGCATGACGGGCCTCCCGTCGCCGCCGCCGCCGCCGCCGCTAAGACGGGGCTTCCGTCATGCGCCAGCGTGGATTTGCCCCGGCGGCACGGGCCGTTTGGATCCCCAATTGGAGCATTGGTCTCTAAGGCGGCGGCGGCAGCGGCAGCGACGGAAGGGTACGGCGACGGTGGCAGTACGGCAGCCCACGGCGGTCTGGGTATCGCACAGATGCTCGCACGGGCATCGGAGCTTGTCGCTGTGGCTAACAACAGTAATGGTGGCACTGGCGGCGGCGGTGCCGGCAGCGGTGGCGGCGGCGGCGACAGCTCGCAGCCGCCGGTCTCGCCGCGGGTTACGGCAGTGTCCGAGCATGTGACGTCACTGCCCGCTGCTGGGGTTTTCGACAGCACTGCAGGCAGAGGCGGCTGCGGCGACGATACGGCGATGGCATCGGCGGCTGCGGCTAGCGCCGCCGGTTGGGCTGATGACGCCGTGGCGGCGGCGGCGGCGGCGACGGCGACGACGACGGCAGAGGTCGCGGATCCCGACGGCGTGGCTAGCGCGCCGCCATCCATGTTGCCGGCAAATGATCATTACCCGCCGTTCCATCCCCAACTGCACCAGCCTCACCCCCCTCACCATAACCACCACAACCATCACCATCAAGCCATGGCGTACGGCATACCTCAAGCCGTACAGGTCAGCCGGCTGGATCCCGTAGAGGAGGGTTGCGGCTCGTCAGCGGCGCTAACGATTGACGCATCCTCCACCTCCATCGCCCGCAGCAGCAGCATGCAGAACACGCTGTCCACGGCTGGCGGCGGCGGCGGCGGCGGCACCGCCGATGCGCGACCGACGCTGCCGTCGACCGGACCTCGCGAAGCATCGCTCACGGCGCGTACGTTGCGTTTCGCAGCCAACCGCATACAGCCGCTCTTTACGACAGCGGGGGCGGCGCCGCCTTCGCCCAACAACGGCGGTGTTGAGTGTGGCGACGGCGGCGGCGGCGGCGGTGGCGGTCCTGGGGCCGCGGCGGCGATATCTGTCGTAGCGGCAATGCAGCAGCCCCACTACGCGAACGCAGGGCATGTGTCTACCATTGAGAATGACCCGCGGGTCGCTGCAGGCGCAGCTGCCGTCGTAGAGGGCTCGCGGCTGCCATCCCAGCTGTCGAAGCGCTCCCTGTCTAAGATCCTGCGGAAAGTCAAGGCTGCATTCAAACCTGGCAGCGGTAGTGGTGGTGGTGGTGGCGGTGATAGCGTCGCCAGCCCCCGCGGCGGCGGCGGCGGCAGCGGCAGCGACGGCCATTAGGGCGCCGCGGATTGTGTGGTGATGGTGCGGAGGAGACGAAGCGCATGAGGCGAGGGCGCCCTTGTCCCCGATGTACGGCGCCAGCCCGCGTCGGTTCGTACGTGTGTGTGTGTGTGTGTGCTTGTGGGGGGGGGATTTTCCGTGTCTGCGAGGCGCGAGGCGTGAGGCACGAGGGGGGTTTCCGTCCTAGGAAATGGAAAAAAAAGGATATGTTGATCTGCTGCCTCTGCTGCTGCTTTTATACCTTTTTTTGTCGTACATGTCCCACCACGGTATGTATAAGTGTTGCACCCCGTCAGCAGCCCCCCTCTTCCCACCCACCCCTGCGCGGAGTTTTGTGTGTGTGTGTGTGTGATCGTGCCGCAATGAAAGGTTTTATATTGTGTACGGCAATATTTTGTATATCTCTCGAGGTTTTGATTTAGGCCACGTTCATGTACACATATGGCTCGTGTTGCCCGCCAGGCGTTTGGTTTCGTACGTCAATCCGACATCCGTACATCTGTACGACATGTATCCGTACGGCATATCGCCATCGCGTCGTTTGGAGGTTTGGTCGTGGAAGCACGGCTCCGGCGCCGCGGGGCAGTTGGTTTGTGTTTTGGTCCCCTGTTGCTCTTTCCCACCCCCCTTTCGGGGGGCCCGGGGGGGGGCCGGCGCCCGCAACCCCTTCCCTACCCCCCCGTTTTCCCTCCGGGGAAAAACCCCAAACCGAACCCACCGCGTGTCCCAGACGTCCTTGGGGGTTTGAGGTACGGCATCGGTTGCTTTTGAGGGGTTGCGGAGTGCACGTCAGCGCAGCCTAAGTGTGTTTTTCGTGTGTGTTTGGATAGGCGTTCGTTTAATTACTGGAGGGAGCGTTCGAGAACTTTGTAATAGTCGTAGCATCTTTTGCACCAGTAGTGGAGGAGGTGGCTGAGAGGATGGATAGAACCAATGACCCTCAGCCAACATCCATTTTTTTCACCCCTGCCCCCCTGTCCCCCCCTGATGTGTGTGGGGTGTGTGTGGGCGGGTTGTGGGTTTCTTTTCTCCTCCATCTTCTCCTCCTTCTTCTGGGACATGCGGCGTGTGTGTATGCCCCGTGCCGTACCATTTACTGCTGGTCCGGTGGTGGTTCGGGAAGATGTTTCATACAGCCTCATTCTTCCAACTAACTAACCGACTAACCGACAACCGGATGACAGACCTGCAGATCGTCCATCAACCGGCAAACAGACATACAGACATACTGACTGACATCCCCGACCGGTAGCAGCAGGGTGTGGGGAGGTTTGGCGGGTTGTGTTGTGTAGTGTTGCTGTTGGTGGTGGTGTGTTTGTGGCGCCGCCGCGGCATGAATTGCTGTGCACTGAGCCTCTGAGCCCCTACTGGCATATGGCGCATGAAGCCTAGCCCACACTGATGCGCTCTCATATTATGGGCGGTTTATTATTAAGTGGTGGTGTCAGTGGGTGGGGGTATGGCGGTGCTTGTGATGATGAGGGCCCTGAAGGGGCCGCGTACGAATGTAGGCAACTATGTATGTACACCGTTACATAGTACGACGATGCGCAGCATAAATCACCGGCTCGCTCGCGCTGTTGTGCTACTGAGGGGAGGGGAGGAGAGGGGAGGTTGTGGCGGTGTTCCCCTCCTCCTTTCTCTATCTCGTCAAACACGGACCCCCCTTGGGGGGGGAAGTCTGCGGAGGGAGAGACGCGCGGCGGTGAAGAACCGAGGTCTCTCTCTGGACGAGCGGATTTTGGGGTAAATTGGACGAGGACGAGGATGAGCGCTGGAAGATGAATTCATGCAGGAAAAGCGCGTGCGAGAGAGACCGTGTGCGAGCAGAGATCGCGCGAGATCTCGTCTAGACTAGAAGACAGAGAAAGCGTCTTTATTTTTCGTAATTACGTGTTATCAGTATTATAATAGCACGTGTGAACGAACGAACAGGAGTTTGATGTGGGGCTGGCTTATATACATGCGGTTGTACAATGTACGGGCGGGCATCATCTGATGGTCGAAAAGATAGATAGATAGATTGATGAGCACTTTTGGCGCAACAGAAAGAAAGTATCTACTGAAGAAAGAAGGACGTGTGCATTTTGATTTATGACTCTTTGATGTTTTTTTTCTCGTCATATTACTAGTATTCCCTTGCAGGCTGTTTTCATCAAGTTTGTTTGTCTGTTTTTTAGTTTGCATGTACGGATACGAGGCAACTGAATGAATACGCGGCCACTGCCTGAGGGCGCGGGGGGGGCGGGTCAGGGTGCAGGAAGGTGAGGTCAGATAACCAAAAAGAAGAAGACATGTCGGCCGTGATAGTAAATAATAATAAATATAATAATAATAGCAATAATAAATATGCACGGAGGGGTGGGTGTTGATGGTCTAGGAGGAGAAGGAGGAAAAGGAGGAGGAGGTGGAGAAGGAAGAAGAGGAGAAGAAACGAAGGGCGCAAGCTGGTGGAAGATGCTGTGTCTGTGTTTCTGTATGTCTGTATGTGTGATGGTGTCCCATACAATACATCATGTACCGTATTGCACTGTATTTGGAGTGCCTGCGGGCGGAATGGAAAGGGGTGGAGGCGGGACGACGGGGGGGCCAGACGCGGGCCTCCCCGAAGTGAAGTGAAGTGAAGTGAGGGGTGATGTGAAGTGAAGTGAAGGGTGAGGTGAGGTGAGGACTGCAAAGAGCTCCAGTACCGCTACACAATCTAATCCCTTTGCGTGTCTGTGTCCGTGTTCATGACGAGGCTTCATGACGAGGCTTCATTTTTTAGTTACCGGATGGAACCACCGGGTCCAAATCCACCCGGTCTTTTCCTTACAGGAAAACACACTCATACATGCACATACACGGGGGGGGGGTCGTCTACTCGACCAACGGAATATTTTGGTGGGGCCACAGATCCAGCACACGGATAAAAGAGGGTGGGATGAGGATGGTGGGGCCGGTGGCCGGGGAGGGGTCCCTTGTTTGTCTGTTTGCCTGCATCTTTATGCGTGCTTTCGTACATGTACTCGCATTTGCTTTTTGTACGTTTTACTGCATGCCCCTAAGTACCGTATGTACGGCGCTGTACATCATTTTTGGCATGCCGGTTCCGGCTGCACCTCGGCGGCCGCGTTACAACAATGTACTCCACTAGCTATCGTGCGTGTGTTCTCTTGAAACAGGGGGGTGTATCTTCACCCGTGGCATCTACCCTGCGAAACCCTGCCTTCCCCGGTATTTCGGGGCACCCTTATCCAGTCACCCTAGTCAACTTTTCAGTGAATCGCTCAGGTTCCGCACCCACCACCAGCATCCAACGGAATCTGCCGGGTCGAAAGCGGCCCAACTCAATTCCTGTTCGCCTCGCAGGTCAACTTTATCCTAGGTGACCACCGTCCATCAACTAGGGGCGCAATGCCTTCCACCATCGGAAGGACTTTTGACCCTAATGGGTATCGATCCCGGGATCTCCCGGGGGCAATGGTCGCGCCTTAGCAGTGGTGCCAAACCCTTGTATGTGTGATGATGTTGATGATGATGATGATGATGATGATGATGATGATGATGATGATGGGCTTGAGGAGTATGATGTGTCGCAACTTTTATCGCATAACCTGTATTTTGTGGTGAGGCAGGCAGCGCGCGTCTGCTTTTTGTTTGCTCCTTTGAATATGAATATGGGTGTTAAGTATGCAGATAGATTTGAATGCTAGTAATAATATAATATGAAATAATATAATTTTGGTTTTTACGGATGTATACGTTGATGGTTATAAGGATATAGCCGGACGCATACACGAAGAAAGACGTGTGTACGGTCAGTTTTCAGGACAGAGACATACATATACACATTCTTACACATACACACCTTCTTACACATACACACACCCTTACACACACACACACACCCTTACACATACATACACACGCGCATATTTTATACACAAACAAGAAGGCACACTACTCACCGCGCGGTAGCGCACTTGGGTCGGTTTTGCCGTATGTATGTACGTAAGCTGAGTTTTTCCCCTTCCATCCTGTTAGAGGGTGCGACATGACAAACGCCCTGGTTATATACATACATGATTACATACATACGCACTTATACACAGCGCGCACACACACACACACATATCTGCACGCGTGCGTGCGTGCCTATACGTTCGTACACAGCGGTGGAGCTTCCCTTTTGCTGATGCTGATAGATAGGAAGCAGGTTGTGAGGTTTTGATCGTGCCGTGTTTATTATTATTGCCCGCCGTTACGCCGTAAAACTAGGTATCACGACGTTTTACATCGTGGCGCGGTTTCGGGGCCACACCGCCCATCCAACTCGGTCCGCCTTCTGCTGATACGTTTAGATCCACCTGGATCCATCTGGATCCTCGTTGACGCATGTTTTGTTGGTGTGCATGGATCCATCTCGATCCACGTACGATTGCCACGTACATTATATATGGTCTTGGCGGCTCAGATCTTCGGGGTTTTGATGAAAGGTAGAGAACGTTGAAATTGTCAACATCGACAATACCATTTGAAAACAAAGTTAATAATGAAGGTCAAGAAGAACGGGACTGGACGCGCCTCCCAATTTGAACGTTCATCTCCACTTGCGCTGGTGGGGAGGGTGCGTGGTTACACGTACATATATACATACATACATACACAGTAACACAACAACTACTGCATGTTTCCGCGCCAGCAGCACTGGAAGAAATGCTTTCCTAAGACTTTCGAGCTTGCGCCTCGCTGCCGTCTCAAAAAAAGATGTGATGTGTCATCGTACAATAGTACGGATCGTACATCGGATGGCTCCATCTTCGCTGGTGTATTGCATTCGGTGCCTTTAGACACCGCGCCTAGACTTGTTGTGATTAAGGAGAAACGTTGAAGCATATGTACAGGCTGATGGCATAGCTGGCAACAGGCACTTCGGAGAAGCAGAAATGTTTGAGGCCTCAAACCTAGGAGGAGGGGCCACCCACCACGGTAAGAAGACCAGCAAGAGCCGTCGCCAGCCCAGCCCGCTCACAAACTGCATAATAAGCAGCCAGAGCTCCATTCTAGGTGACATACAATCCTAATCACAATAATGTCTTTGCGCTAAAAAGCTCCAGACCTTCCCGATCGGGAGTTCGGAGGGACTCCCTGGACTCCATCCATTTATCACTCAAAGGATTTAACCCGCTCCAGATGTGTGATGCAGTATACCATTATAGTGGTAGTCTATAGATTACCACTGATGGCATGCTATTTGCCTGCACACATACCAACATGCGGATGCATGGGGCTCTATGGAGATGGAGCTTGTGCATATATCCGCCTTCAAAGTGTAGTACCTGCCGTATGGTACGACACACACATCGTCCCTAATAATATATACATGCTAAGCTTGGGGCGATCTTTGGCGGCAGTATCTTGAGAGGCCTTTCCAGCGGCCAATTAATGACCAGCTGGTTTCTTGTCAACCCTAGCTGCAGCACACCTAAGCTTGTTATTCAAAAGACATGGAGACATTACTGTACCATGCATGCCTGTCATTTGTTACTTCGTGTATGTGCCAACTTCTAGTGGATCCCTCAGGATCAGCACCCACCACCGGCATCCAATTTGCCGGATCAACAGTGGCTCAACCCGCAGATCACCTTTATCCCCGGTTATTACCGTCCATCGACTAGGAGCACTAAGACATTTAACCAATGCAAGGAATCTTCACCGTGACAGGTCTCGATCCCGGATCCTCCGGGGGCATCGGTGTGTGCTCTACCAGTAGCGCCTGACCTAATATGTGTGTAGGTATGTAAACACGGGAGGGGTCTAGAATGGTGCCCCATCATCGCATCTGGCTGGGCCACAGGCACGTGTCCTGTCGGTTGGATACATCCTACACCCCTTTTTCGCATCAAAGAGGCACACACCCAACAGCCGCATCCTGGGGACTGCATCCCCTTCCCTCCGCCATCCTTATCCTTGGTGGGCTGGCGTCGACCCGTCCGCCAATATGGCGCCATCCTGGGCCCTCTGTCTTCCATCCTTATGCTGGGGGAGGGCCCACATTTCTATCCTGCTCTTTTCCATCCGTATCCTGCTCTCCGACCCTCTCCACCACATCGATGTGGATATCCTGACCGCTCTGCAACCCTCCTCTGCAACCCTCCCTCCCCGTCACACCAGTCTGTCCGCCGGCCCCAGGTCCTTGTAGCACAGAGGCATCACACTTCTCTCCGGTGCACCGGGCCGCAGGCCAACGGATGTCGGGGTTTGCACGTTATTGATGTCGAAGTTGCTTGGTGTGGGGTTGAATTTCAGCAGGATGCTCGCGGGCCACTTCTCTATGTCGATCAGTTTCCACCTCTTGTTGCCCGTGTTCGTCCGGCAGCACCCACCGCAGTCTGAGTCACTGCAGACATCCTTGACGTTGACCGTCACCGTCACATTTGGCCTGCCCTGAACCATGACCTGCAGCTTTTTCCCCAACAGGGCGTTGTCCAGTTGGTAAGTCGCAGCTATGTTCCAGCCCCTGACGGTGGCCTCCGGGAAGCGACAATCGTATTTGCCATTGCCGCCATTCAGCCACTGGGCGCCATTTTTACAGGGCTTGGAGCTCCCACCGTCAATGTTGTTGAACATGCCTGCCCATGTGCAGCCGGAGTACGCCACGCACTCTGTCGTACCCGGCTTGGGCCAACTGTCGTATATCGTACCAACGGCCGGACTCCAGCCACTGGGACAGGAACTTGCTGGTATTGTACACATGCGTTCATTCAGGTAGCCGGCCGGGGCACATGCATGGAGGGCGTTGCTTTACCATAGAACATATGTATATGCGTGTGGCATATGTGGGAGCTGTGAATTGCCGCTCTCATCTGCTTTCAAAAGTACGCCAAAGCCTTGCAATTCCGTGCATAACGTACATGCAGGAGGTACACATGTGTGTGTTGGCGATCCTTTAAAAGTTGCATGCAAGGGCAAAATTAAGATCGTTAGGTAGATGGCCACCATTCTAGCCAGACTCTGCATGTGTTGTATTCTGGCCATATCACGGGATCTGCATCCGCAGATGGGGACTTTCTGAAGTCGTGATATATTTTTTAGCAGCATGCTGCCGCACATAAGGCCGCAGGAGCGTGCAAGCAAACTTGTACGGCGGGTGGGCCTGGAGCGTAGTGAGCATGCAAAAACATACAATTGACGCCCCACTGACGCCCACCCTGCCTTCCCTACCTGCAAGCATGCAAGGGTCCCTATCCATTCTACCAGGGCAAGATAAAAACAGCTTAAATATTATTTATGCGATTTGTGGGCGGGGCCCCAGCGCGAAGCGCCCCTGCCCTATAGGATTGCTCATGGCCGTGTGTCCGTGTGTCCGTGTGTCCGTGTGTCCGTGTGTCCGTGTGTCCGTGTGTCCGTGTGTCCGTGTGTCCGTGTGTCCGTGTGTCCGTGTGTCCGTGTGTCCGTGTGTCCGTGTGTCCGTGTGTGTGTGTGTGTGTGTGTGTGTGTGTGTGTGTGTGTGTGTGTGTGTATGTGTGTGTAACGGACCAAACATAATATCTCGCCCGGCTGAAGCGACAACCTCTCCATCACTCGAAGGCTGGCAACGCAGCAGCAAGTGCCGCAACAGCACGTTCTTCTATCTGGGAGCGCTGATCCTGATGTGCTAGCTCTTGAGCCCAAACCACAGCGGAAACCAGCGGCGTGGCGCCACCTGATGACCCCGACATCGGCTGACTAGCTGCGGCAGCAGAAACGATGTGTCTCAAGCGGCGGGGTGGGGTCCCAGCCACCCACTAAGATAGCTGATGATGAGCTGAGATGGCCACATCCATCATTCCGTCCTTCCTACATGCTCCCTGCTGCCTGCTACATGCCTTAGTGTATGTGTATGCGTTAATTCAATAGCTGCACGTACCTACCCCCACTAGACGAGGCATAAAGTACGCACGGACGCCTTACCAGTCGCCGCCAAGCTTCGTGGAGCGGCTTCAACCAGCAGCAGTGCTAGGAGAACCGGCGGAATCCAAGCGGCAGGCAGCAGGTCACCGTTTCTTCTGCACACCACGCCGTCAGCAAGCATATGGAAGGACGTGTACATGTTCATGACGCGGAAGAATGATAGCAACTGGTGTCGTGATATAGATGCCTCTCAACATACATGCAGACCGACGGTGCCTGTGTATGTATGTATGTTGTTACAGGGTGGTTAACTTCGCCAGCGGCCCCCTTTCCCGGGGCAGTCCCTGCTCTCCCCTGCTAGAGGGGCACCCTAATCCGTTACCCCATCCGACTTCAGAATGTATTCGTTGGTTCGGCAACTCACCACCAGCATCCAACCAAATCTAGCGGATCAACGGCGCATCAACTTAGTTCCTGGTCAGCTCGCAAGTTGATATTATCACGTCCTACACCGTCCATATGATGGGGGGCCACCTCACATTTCATCACCCCTCAAACACCCGAGGAGCCGGCAGGCGGATTTGAACCCGGGTCGACTGGGTCGACTGGGAGCAGAAGTCAGGCCTTAACCTCTGCCAGCCGCCTGCCTGTGTATGTATGTCGTTACAGGGTGGTTAAGCTTCACCAGCGGCCCCCTTTCCCGAGGCAGTTCCCTGCTCTCCCTGCTAGAGTTGCACCCTAATCCGTTCACCCCATCCGACTTCAGAATGTATTCGTTGGGTTCAGCAACTCACCACCAGCATCCAACCAAATCTAGCAGATCAACAGCGCCTCAACTTAGTGTGTATGTATGTATGCAAGTCTGTAAACCTTTAATTGTCTGTAGATCCCAACCTGATACAATAGAATGAACTAATGTCCCTATCTCATATGCCAGGGCACGATCTATAGACCAAAAGTCCTACCGGCGAGTATGGACATGCATTGATGCCTCCCACATGCACCCGTTTTGCTTCTACCCCCCAACCCTACCCATTTAAGCAACCCAGTTCCAGGCGTCGTCCCGTGCAAGCCCTCGCCCATTAATCCTGCCACCGAACTTTTGTAGCTGCTGCATAGCCCAAGCCGTACCTCATTCTCTTTTCTTTGATGTGGCAAAACTTGCTTTGCAATAAACAATGCGAGATCTCAGCAGTTTCTCAGTCCCAAATTATTTTGCCTGCTGGCACGAACGAGGAAGCAAGGAAGGAGGCATGCGTGTATGTCCGGTCATGAACAGCACATACAGTAGCTAGAACTAGATGTTAGAACAGAACGAACTAGATGTTTTAGACATGGCAGCGGCCCTCGAAGCCTGCTAAGAGCTTACCGGCGTAAACTAATCCAAGCCGACTGAATGCCTGTTTGGCAGCAGCAGGCAGGCTCCAAAGGGAGTGGCTTGCAAGGTAGAACTAGTCGAGGAGAACATGCATTAGCTGCAGGCACACCTAGCTCACTTATACCTTTCGGAACTTGGCCAACATATATAGTATGGCAATCGCAAAAGGCCCGGAAGGACCGCCGAAGGTCGCTTACTCGACCCACCCGCTATGGGAGGCCCCCGGTGTTCACCAAGAAGCTGATGACGTAACGCATCCAGCACGTTGTTTGGCGGCGGGCGGCTCGGCGCCAGCGTTCGAGAAACGCAAAGTGACTGCCCGTTCTGTCTAGGTAAAACGATACACCAATTAAATCATTTACTGCTAAAAACTGGAAGTTAATGCTTGTAGTAGCTGATAACCGAAAACACTTTTTACGCTAGAACTGTAAGACGCGTTTTACATTTCAGAACATTATGGCATGCGACTTGATCCCGTGGCTAAAGAACGTAATATTTTAAATTGCGTGGCGCCGGTTACATGCATGCGTGAATGACATCCCGGATTTAGAGCAGTCACAAGCCGTATGCGAGGTCATGGGTTTTGAAGGACTGAGGGACCACCAGAATTATGATGGACTCGGAAATCGAAAGTGCCAGGACCAAGTTTGCAATTTCTTTGGTGCCCAGCTTGGGGCGCTCTGCAGATCCGAGGGACTGCTCGTGATGAACGGCCGGATAAGAGGGGACCCAGAAGGCCGCCTAACTTTCCCTAAGGGGGAGGCAGGCGGTAGTATGATCGATTTATTCATAGCGACTCCGCGTGTGCTTCAGCAGTACGCCACCTTTCTGAGGGTAGGGAACCTGATCGAGTTGGATGGATGGGAGCCCACCGACCACCGTCCTTTGACGCTTGTTCTTAATGTTACAGTGGATGACGAAAGCAGGTGTAGGGACGGTAAAGGCCGGAAAGCCCGGGTGGAGTTTGATATTGCACGATACCAGGATTATGCGGAATATTTTGAGGGGGGGTCCCCTACTATGAATGCCTTAAGCCAAGTGGCCGAGGACCTGCAGAGGGGAGTTTGCAATACCACACAAGCTGTCGAACGCATTGGAGGTGCCCTGTACAAAGTCCTGGTGAGGGCCTTCGATACCCACCGACCTACCGGCATGACGGCAGGTGGGAATACGGTTTGGTGGAACCGGGAATGTCAACAAACACGGCAACGCATGTTGGAGAGCAGAGCACATCTGGGTCCAGGCCGGGTGAGTAATAAATCGGGTCCGGAATGGGAGGCTTTCCGCCATGCGCGGACGGATTATAACCGGGCAAAAAGACACGCAAGGGCGGCATATGAGGAGGATAGGATGAGAGAGTTTGTGGCCAAATGTCGGCAAGACCAACGAGCTTTGTGGCGGGCTTTAGGAGGGAAGTTGAGAGAGCGATGTGCGATAGATGATATTGAGGTCTTCAGGGAACACTTTGCTGGGCTCTTAAACGCAGGTGTAGGGGAGACAGGGCCTGATGGTGCGAACCGGCTTTTGAACTTCATTAACTTTGGGCAGTTCCTAGAGGGGCAGGAATGGCGGTCATCCCACTCGGTTTTGGGCAGGACTGCGAAAGCAGCAGAAATCCTAGAACCCCCTCTCACGCTGGAGGAAGTCGCACGTGCTGTTGACCGGCTGCCTAACAGTAAGGCACCAGGTTTGGAAGTAGCGCCGTCGGAATGTTACCGCTATGCGCGTTTGCCCCGAGAGGAAGAAGACTCCGCGTCGGGTAATGGTGGGGGCAGGCGACGGGGGGAAGTGAATCAGCTTGTTCCGGTACTGCACGTGCTTCTGGAGCATATCAGGGCGACTGGGGACTTCCCACGGCAGTTTACAACTACCGTCCTCACCCCTATTTACAAGAAGGGGGACCCCAGCATGCCGAGTAACTACCGGGGCATAGCAGTAGGGGGCGCTTTGGCGAAATGTTATGCACTGGTCCTCCTGGATAGGCTCGTTCGCACAGGGGAGACGCTCTCACTTAGGCATCGAGGCCAAGCGGGTTTCAGAAGAGGTTTCGGTACTACACACCATCTCTTTGCCAAGCAGTACCTTACTACTAGGCACAGCCAACCGGGACAGCGGCCGTTAATCATCGTGCAAATTGACTTTGAGAAGGCGTTTGACAAGGTGCCGCGGGAGATAATGTGGCTTCGCTTGCAAGAGAGAGGGGTTGAAGGGTCCATGCTGCAGTCGCTGATGCGGGCGTATGATAAGGTTACGATGGTCATCAAGACGAATGGCAAAGCTGGAGGTGAATTTGAGTCAAAACAGGGTGTGAAACAAGGCTGTCCACTATCAACTGAGCTGTTTGGGCTCTACATTGAAACCCTCGCGGACGTCATCGATATGCACGACGGTATTAATACCGGGG